ATGACTAGCCTTACATATTCATTATTCTCACTTGCTTCAAGCCTCCTATTTTCATCTTTACCCAGCTCTTCTGTTGGTTTGAGCATGGTGATGTGCAGCCTGTAAGCTACTATCTGAAAAGGCAACATAACCAGAAACTTATAAAACCATAATTCAACAAGATACGTTAACTAGAATTGACATGTTAAGTGCTAACCATCACCAACAATCTTTTATATGATATTGCATCCTACTCTCTAATCAGCCGAACAAACAGCAGCCATGACTATCATAAAAGCGCTTTAACTAATGATTCTGATGTAGGACAAGATGATAGAAAATTAGTATAGTTTAATTATTATTAGTTTAGCCGAATTTTTAGTTTAATAGAACTTAATTTGTATCTTAGATTTGTATCGTTTTTGGTTTATAATGCTATACATAGCTACTTGTGAGGATTCTTGTGAAGATTATAAGGAAGCCTTTTGGAATATCATTTTCAAATAGAACACTGTGTACTTCGTGAGTTTTCTCCCTCTTGGGATGAATTTTCCTTCTTTAGTCAGTTCAAACCCACAGGACCAGACTGATAAAAAAAACTATTCACAATAATATGGTAAACGAACATGATAGTGGTCACAAAAATAAAATATACTGAACAGGAAGAATCAAGTTCCCAAGCATGCATGTTACTAAATAGATCAGCGTCCTTCCATACTGGAGCAAGGAATCGAACGCACGCAGCACACAGAAGAAGAGGTGCAAGAGAGCAAGGTGCTTTGACCATTTACCGCCCTAAACCTAAAAAAACAGCATGACTAGCGAGACCGGTGGAAAACAAACATAGTCATAGAACTACACAAGAAATGATCGACTACCATCGAAGAAATTCTCAACAGCAGAGTAATTACGATTCTCGAGACGAGCAAAGGCGCAACAGGATTGTAAAACGAACGGAAAATCCAAAATTAAGACTAGAGCATCATCAATCACACAACAAAACAACAGAAGAAGAAAAGGGCAAAAGGGAATCGCAAAGAGAAGACGGAAAACTAGGGTTCCCAGATATGATCGAGGCAAACACAACAGAAATCTCGAAAAACAAAGAAATTCAAATATGTTGAGTAACACCTACCAGTCTGAGTCGTGTTAGAAGAGCGGAAGCAGGAGTGAAGAGACGAAAGAGACGATCAGGCAGCAGGGTCTGTCGGACCTCGAAAAATGGCCCCGACCCACCGGCACCGGCAGGAGAAAAGCAGGAGAAAGGACACGAGGTTGAGCTGCTAACCCAATTACTTTGCTTACAAGAATGTCTTTCTTTAAAAAAAGAAAGGAAAGAAAAGGAGTTCAAAGTTCAAAATTCAAAGTAAAGACCAGGTTTGTTTATATCCAAAATTGGACGGAGGGCTAAGAACATCAATGGATTCTTCTTTCTGTCGCGGTGGAACAGCTCTCAGTGCTCAGTGCTCAATGCTCAATGCTCAATACTCAATGCTGTGCGTAGTTCCCATACATAAAAAAACAATGATTTTTCAACCTCAACGTTCCTTTTCTCCAGATTTTAGTGGCTTCTCTTTTTCTTTTTATTTTCTTTCCGTAAGCATGAAAATTATTTATTATTATTATTTTTATTATTTTGTAGGTCACAAAAATTAAAATTAGTGGTTTCCCAGCTACTTGGACTGTTCTGAAAATTTAATTTCCGTTTTTATAAGAAAAATGAATTTTAATTTAATATCGATGGGGAGAATTAAACTATTTATTGATTATTATATTATCCACGCCCTACCTAATTAAAAATTAAATCTTAAAAGTATCAAATAAGTCTCAAAATTTTTAATTATGTTTTAATATATCTTTTAACATATACAATGTTTTACCAAAAATAATAAATTTATCAGATAGGAGAATTATTAGACATTTATTAAAATTTATTTTAATGTAAGGACAGACTAAATTTATTATTTAACCTAAAATTTAATAAAATTGTTAAGATTTATTTTATTATAGTCTCTTTTGTAAATTTGTTTTTTTTTTTTAATGAATATTGGATTTTTGCAACCCGTGATTTATAGTGGAAGGTCCCACCTAGCTATATTTAAATTGGATTTTTATTATTTTTATTTAAATTACTTATGGAAGCTGTCTTCATTTCAAAATTATAATATTGATCTCTTGATTAAAAATAATTCTTTAAAATATTTGGTAGAAATTATAATATAAAATTAAATAAAATAATTTTGTGTGGTAGTATTTAGTTGGTGAGAAAAGTGCGGTCGTCATGAAGATAATAAAATCCAAATTATTTATGGTTGGTGGTAAACTCAAAATTGTGGATACCAAAACCACCTGCTTTATTGTGGCCTTTATAATTTTTATTTCAATTTTTCCTTTCTTTTTTGTTTTTTTTTTTACAACCACACTCGAAACTTCTGTATCTAAACCATTATCATTTTATTATAAATTTGAAGTTGCACTCTTTTACGTTATAGGACAAGTTGTGTTTATGTATGTAATTATTGCATGTTCGATCATTCACGAGTTGTTTGCTTTTACGGTTAAGTCAAAAGTCAATTTTACATTATAATTATATTTTATTGGTTGGTTGATATAAATTCTTCCTTGTTCTTTCTTACCGGTTATGTTAGTTATTTGTATAGTTAGGTAAATAAAATATAGAAAAACATGTGGATTTTTGGGTAAAGAGGTAACGGGTTATTCTCAATAACACGAGGGACGTGTTTGAGGTTAGGGCTTTAAAAGATGTTTGACAAGACTTGTTTTGTACAATAGTTGTTTCTTATTTATCTAAAAACCTGCACTTGATTTTCTTTACTAGTCAATACAACATAACTCGAATTTTATTACTGTGAGATTTCATATCAGTTGGAGAGGGGAACAAAACATTTATTATAAGAATGTGGAAACCTCTTCGTAACAGGCAAAAACTATGAATGTGACAACGATATATAAGGGTCAAAACGCACAATATCTACTCACGATGGTCTTGAACTATTACAATTACCGTCAATATAAAATCTCAATCTCATTCTTCTTTAGTTTCGTCTTTCGTCTTTCCTTTCTTACAGGAGAGTAAGTTCAAGCAAGAAGGAAAAGGGTGTCGGTTGAGGAATCGGGAATAGGAAAAGGAGCTGCAATTCTCCACGAAGTTGCCTCTTTTAGGCCAGTAAGCCTAATCTATCTGTCTGTCTTACATAAAAATTGTCGTTAACAATAAAAACAACTATAATAAAACTCTTAAAATGATGGACCAAACTTTGAATAAAGCAAAAACTTATAGACTAAGAACCTAACTTTAAGCAAAGATGTGAAAATAAACCGAACTTATAAATCCACATCTTCTTTTAGTTACATGTTAAATGAGATTTTATGAAGAAAATTGTTTCTTTTTTTCTTTTTAATTTGAACTCATTTTAGGTACATTTGTTTTCATTTAAAGCTTTGATCAACTTATATTTTAATTGATATCATTGCCTTATTACCTTTTGCAAACAAAAAAATTAAACAATCCTATAAGGCAAACAAGTAATTATTGAGCTTCAGTCACATCTCAAGTTGGTGGGTTCAAAAGTTGATATTTTTACCATCAATTTTTATCAAGATTATTTTATATATATAAATATTTTTTTTTCATGGATTAAAAAATATATGTTGTTTTAAAATTTGTAATATTAAATGTACACGATAAATCGAGTGGAAAGTCTAAGTGTCATTATTTCAAAAGTGAAATGTACAGTTATGTTAAACTATTCTATAAATGTCTACTTCAATAATTTAGGAATATTTATGAAATATCATAACATTGCAACTTTTTTTAATTAAAAAATATATATTTTTAAAACAAACTAGGACTACAAATTGATTATGACGTATGTGGTTGCAAATTCTCATATGCATGTCTAACACGACTTAAGAGGTGTCGAACTACAAATTGAAACAATTTACAAAAACAAGAATCCATGTACTAGTTTTGTGCGCTATGTCCAACACATATTAACACTTAGGTTCATCGCTATTATGGACAATGAATTAAAAATGTTATTATACCATCTTTAAAGTAACCTTATTTATTTAATTATTTTGATTTGACTTTGAACCCTTCAAACACATATATATAGTTCGGCCAATTTTCAATTAAAAACAGCTCAACCCAAAGCTTCAACATCACACATCACTACACCCAAAATGTATTAATAAAATAATAAATTGCTCTCAATCATCAACCATGGACATAAAATAATATAAGATGATTAAATAAAATGTGAAACATTCATAAATGAAAATTTGAATTCCCACTAAAAAAAAATCATTACACAACAATTATCTGACTAATCTTAATATTATAATTAAATCAATCATATTAGCCTAATTGGAGTTAGATTAAGCAGTCAGTCTCGGTAGACAAATTTATTAAGTTTTTTTTTTTTTTTTTTTTAATGATAAAAGGGTATAGTAGAACCAAAAAAAAAAAATTATTGGTCTTAATTAGAGGGAAATAACGTAACAAACTTTAGCTTGGAAGGTTGTCTGTGTAAATGTTGAGGTTCCAATAGGCTTCACATTAAATGTGATGTAATACATTGAGCAACAGCTCCTCGAATGATTGTATTCACAATGTTACAACTTCAAAATTAGTTCTCTATCCATACAAGATAAAATAAACATTTAGAGGAGATGAATGGACAAATTCTTTTTCACATGAAAAAAGAACACAAAATGGACATAACTAGAAAGTTAGAACGATTACATTTTCGTTGTTGTAATGTTTGATAGCTTCCTTGGCTGAGATTCAAACTTCTCTAAGCATCCACGAAAACTCGAGCAATTTTTTGTTGTACAACATCCCTTAAATTTTATATTTAAAGTTCCTATATTGAAAAATAGAAGAAAAAAATGGATGTTTTAGAGGAGTGCATAAAATCATAAGTTATTTTAGAAATAAAATAAAATAATTTATTTCTTAAATAAAAATGTGTTAAATTAATGAGTTGTAAAATAAAATTTGATTATTTATTAATTTAAATAAATAGATAAAACATTTTGATGGGCCTACCTCTTTAACCCAGCTTCCCAAGCCTGTTTATTTAGCCCAGCAACACCCGCCCAAACCTATTTGAAGGGCTTCAAAACTTACTATCTTCATTCCTCATTTCCTTCCTCTCTTCTCTGCGTTTGCTCTTCGTCAATTTCGTAAGTCTCCTATTCTTTTTTTTTATCTGTTTGTATTTGGCAATTTGGTAACCCTCTCTCTGTTTATTTTCTTTATTAAGTTTGTATGACTGCGATTATCTCATGCCCCTCTCATGTTTTCGGCTCATTTTTGTTATTGCTGTGTTATTTGATTGATTTTTCTCTTGGATGTGTGCTGATTTTCCTTATTTTTAACCATGTAAATCTTAATTGTTCCTTAATGATTTTAGCTATGGATCCTTTTAAATTTTATTTACAAACTAAGTTAAACAAAAAAAAACAGACGAAGGTACTTCTGGATTTGATGGCTTCTTCATCCCACATTTTGGAGGAAGAGAAAGAAGAGATAGATTCAGATGATGAATTTTTTCAAGACGGTTACCATACTATCACTAAAAAAGAAGAGATGGAATATTTTTGTGCTGTCAATGAATCCCAGGTTTATTATTTTCTCTTAATTTTTTCACTGTTCAAACTCTTTTTTTAAATGGGAGGATCTATGCAGGGTTTTGATGTACCATATTTTGGTGCCGTCTATGCATTTGGTCTCATCACTCCAATGAAATTGCATGGGTTCCCGGAGTTGTTTAAAGAGGTTCAAATCTCAGCAAATGAAGCTATCAAACATTACAACAGCGAAAATGTAATCGTTCTAACTTGCTGGCTGCCCATTTTGTATTTTTTATCGTGTTCTTTTATCATGTGAAAAAGAATATGTCCATCCATCTTCTATAAATGTTTCTTTTATCTTGTATGGATAGGGAACTAATTTTGAAGTTGTAGACATTGTGAAGGCTAATCACGAGGGGTGCTGTGGCTCAATGTATTACATCACATTTAATGTGAAGCCGATTGGAACTTCAGCAGAATTTCCCTCGATAACCTTCCAAGCTAAAGTTTATTATGCTATTCCTATCAAAGATATTATAGAAGTTGAACTTTGCAGGCCAAAGCCCTCTAATTAGCAAGAGATAAGCTAGTCATTACAAGCTTTTTAACATAATATTTTGTTTGGTTATGAGGTCACTTTGTACTGTTACAAACTTTTTTTTATTTTATTGGTGCTATGTTTGAAATTTGTATGGTTTTTTTTTTCAGCACAAATATGTGCAACATATCACTTTTAATACTAAAATAAAGCATATTTTAATATAGAAGCATATCTATGTCATTGATTCATTCTTTTATGACCTCTATTTTCTCCCTCCCAAATTCTTAATTATTCAATATTTTTTATTTTTCTTATATTTTTAATTATTTAATATTTTTTATTAATATTATCTTCTTTTTTTTGGTTCTTGCCTCTACTAATATATATCTTTCAAAAAAAATTAATATATATCTTTAAAAAAATTTAATATACATCTTTAAAAAAAAAAAAATAATATACATCTTTAAAAAAAAATTTAATTCTTAATTTAACTTTAAACTATAAAAATCTATGAAGGTGTGATATATAAGATTTGTAACCATATATCTTTATGATCCTTGCTTTTGGAATTAGACATTTATTTTTATTTCTGTCAACCACAGTTGCAACTTAGACATTTATTTTTATTTCTGTCAACAATTGCAACTGGTAGGATTATTAAGCTGCATAAGAGTGCAAGTTTGGCTTTGTTGTACTGATCTGAGTTTTTTCGAAAAATGTTCTTTAATTATTCTAACTTTCAAACGAAAATCTTTAGTCATTTAAGCTATTTTGTCAATAGATTAATTTATGATGGAACGACATTCAAATATACAAACGAACTAAGGCAATTTAATTTTCCTGTTCTACACATTGTGGAAGAAGGAGTGAATCCTCATGAGCCATTTGGGTAATAAGCATTGCAGTATTATACAATTCTACACATTGTGGAAGAAGGAGTGAATCCTCATAAGCCATTTGGGTAATAAGCATTGCAGTATTATACAGAAATGGTGGAATTCTGTCCCACTCCAAAAAGTCGATTAGCCACCACTCCAAAAAGAGGATACGCTACCCGCTAAAGTATTCCCCATCTTTTCATTCTCTACGGCGTCTACGAGGGTCGATAACTCTCCGGTGTGTGTTATTCAAATTATCATCCAATGGAAGGGTGAGACATGGAGATTACATAGTCTACTTAATGGAGTTATTAGTGAAAAAAACATTCATAAATTAGAATAAATGTATTAAAAATAATTTGTTGGTAGAATAAATGTATTAAAAATAATTTGTTGGGTGATGCTCATACACATGATTGAATTAGAATTTGAAATTGACCTCGTTATATTCTTATTACCTTACCTATTTGTTGCTTTAAAGAGAGAACTATTATCACCACATGTATTTGTAGAGAGGAGGACATCCAATCAAATGACAAATAATAATTTAAAATAATTTGATTTGATGTGCAGCAATATTATTTCACACGTGTGATGGTTTGGATCATGTGTATGATGTTGAAATATGGTTAATTTTACGTCTCTCCGTATTCGTTTAATCTCATCGAATCAATTTAATGATGTTTTTTATAACTAACAAAAGTTTGGTACGAAAGTTCAATTTTTATATATTTTTAACCCAAAAATATAATAATATGAATAAATAAATAAATATATATATATATATATATATATATATATATATATATATATATATAAACCATTTTGCCTATAAAAAAGAAACCGAATGTAATCAATTTCATAGAAAATAGTTGGTCAAAAAAACCTCCCTATTACATTGTTGTTTGTAACAACATTCTTTTTATAATTTCTCTCCTAATTAAGCAAAGACTTTTTTCTTTTTATTATTGGATACCATCATCCATCGAACAAATACACGGGACCTATTCGAGTATTGATGACATCTTGACTCACTTTTCCATAACCTCTATCTCCCCATGCTTCTCCCCACGAATTTTTAATGATCCAATTTTTTTCCGTGGTTATCTTTTCCATAACCAACGATTAGAATAGCATGCAAAAAAAGATCGTTTATGTCTTCATTTAACAGTTCAGTACCATAATATATTTTCTACAACAAAAAAAAATATATTTCCTACAAAAAAAAAAAAAGAGAATGTTACTTAAATTAACTAAAATATATAATATTTTATTTATTAAAAAAATTAAGTTACTTACATTTCTCATACACTTTAACTGGTCAGTAACTCTTATACCACTCGTTATGGGTTGATCCTCTATTTTTTAAGATAGGTTTTCAACCTTCTCATATTCTTTAATCTTGATCAATTGCTACAATTAATAAAATACATCATCAGTTATACCATATAAAAAAATAAATGAAAAAAAATATTAAATTAATGAGTTTTAAAAGAAATCTTACTGTGGTGATTTTTTTGCAATTTCCTCTCTAAGCATTAAATTTGTAATCTTTTTCCTTAGCAATTCCTTGGTTAGATATGATCCACTCAAAACTTTTCTTGGTAATGAGATATAACATTCTTTTGGAATCTATAAGATGTTGGGGTGAAGCTTGGAGGATATTTTTGTATTCACCCTTGTAAACAATATTGTAGAGTGATTCAATAGCCCCAGCAGCTACTATAGCCCAACAACAGTCTAAAAAGAAAAAAAAAATTAATTATTAAAATGTAAAATAAATCCTAATGTAAATATAAAAATAAATGGGTAATAAAAGAATAAAATACAAAATAAATCTTAATATAAATATGAAAATATATACGTAATAAAAGAATAACTAATACTTTGATTTCGAACTGGAGTGAGAACGTTATGGTAACGACAATCAAAATATTCTTCCTGCCATTTTAAATATAGATAGAGTAAAATTGTAATTAAATGTACCCATTTTCATAAATTCATTAATTTGATAATGAGTATATTTTAACCTGTAACTCATCCATAATAGATTCTGCAGAATTTAAAAAAAATGGTTAGACTACAATTATTTAAAAAATAATATATTAACAATTAATCTCAACAATAATATAGTTTAGCCGATTGTTCTAATGATATGATCAAATAAAAAAATAATGAAAGTTCATGTCTCATAATGGAAAAGAAAAAATCTATCTTATTTTGTTCTACCTTCATCTAACTGCCAAAAATATATAAATGAGTCATATATATGGACTAAAATATTTACAAATATGATTTTGGATCAAACTTCAGTCTCTAACGAAATAAATAATAACAGAATTTAAGTTCTATTCCCATTTAATGTCCATTTTTATTTTTAGAATTTGATTTTTAGGCTCAACTATAATAACAAGAAAAGAAAATAAAAAATTAAAAGGAAAGAAAAACAGAGCTCATGCAAGAACAAGGAGCAAGAAAAGAGAAGAGAAGAAAAATGAAAAGAAAAAACAGAGAAAATGAATGACGTACCTTGAGCTTATGCAAGAACAAGAAGAGACCTGTGGCAAAGAGAGAAAAAAAAAGAATGAGTGACGAGATGAAACGAAGACGGAAGGAAATCCATCAGTGTTTTTCTATCTTTTTCTATCCTTTCCCTCTTTTTCTTCCCCATGGTCGGAGCCACGCTCTCCAACAGCCCCCGCCTCGTTATTAGATGCAATGATCCAATATTTTTTTCCGTTGTTATCTTTTCCATAACCAACGATCAGAATAGCATACCAAAAAAGATCGTTGATGTCTTCATTTAACAGTTCAGTACCATAATATATTTCCTACAACAAAAAAAAGGAGAATGTTACTTAAATTAACTAAAATATATAATATTTTATTTATTAAAAAAATTAAGTTACTTACATTTCTCATACATTTTAACTCGTCAGTAACTCTTATACCACCCGTTATGGGTTGATCCTCTATTTTTGAAGATAGGTTTTCAATATTTACCTTCTCATATTCTTTAATCTTGATCAATTGCTACAATTAATAAAATACATCATCAGTTATACCATATGAAAAAATAAATGAAAAAAAATATTAAATTAATGAGTTTTAAAAGAAATCTTACTGTGGTGATTTTTTTGCAATTTCCTCCTCTGAGCATTAAATTTGTAATCTTTTTCCTTAGCAATTCCTTGGTTAGATATGATCCACTGAAAAGCTTTTCTTGGTGATGAGGTATAACATTCTTTTCGAGCTATATTTTTTGGATTAAGATTAAGACAATCTATAAGATGTTGGGGTGAAGCTTGGAGGATATTTTTGTATTCACCCTTGTAAACAATATTGTAGAGTGATTCAATAGCCCCAGCAGCTACTATAGCCCAACAACAGTCTAAAAAGAAAAAAAAAATAATTATTAAAATGTAAAATAAATCCTAATGTAAATATAAAAATAAATGGGTAATAAAAGAATAAAATACAAAATAAATCTTAATATAAATATGAAAATATATACGTAATAAAAGAATAACTAATACTTTGATTTCGAACTGGAGTGAGAACGTTATGGTAACGCCAATCAAAATATTCTTCCTGCCATTTTAAATATAGATGGAGTAAAATTGTAGTTAAATGTACTCATTTTCATAAATTTATTAATTTGATAATGAGTATGTTTTAACCTGTAACTCATCCATAATGGATTCTGCAGAATTTAAAAAAGATGGTTAGACTACAATTATTTAAAAAATAACATATTAACAATTCAATAATAATATAGTTTAGTCGATTGTTCTAATGATATGATCAAATAAAAAAATAATGAAAGTTCATATCTCAAAAGAAAAAATCTATCTTATTTTGTTCTACCTCCCTCGAAATCAACTGCCAAAAATATATACATGAGTTATATATATGGACTAAGATATTTACAAATATGATTTTGGATCAACTGCCAAAAATATATACATGAGTTATATATATGGACTAAGATATTTACAAATATGATTTTGGATCAACTGCCAAAAATATATACATGAGTTATATATATGGACTAAGATATTTACAAATATGATTTTGGATCCAACTTCAGTCTCTAACGGAATAAATAATAACAGAATTTAAGTTCTATTCCCATTTAATATCCACTTTTATTTTTAGAATTTGATTTTTAGGCTTAACTATAATAACAAGAAAAGAAAATAAAAAATTAAAAGGAAAGAAAAAACAG